CAATAATCATGCAGGGAGGCCATTTCTCAGGTGACCCCCCCCCCCATTTCAAAGCTCAGAGGAAAGGCTGTTAGAGAAAGAGCTTCTTGTTGATGGCCCTGTGATCATAGAGCCCTGTTCCCTGGAAAATTCAAGGTGTGTTTTTTTTTTCCTTTCATTGCCAAGTTAAGCTTATCATTTCAGATCTTTGCCATTTAATCTACCACTAGTGGTTTTAACTGCTATTTTATTTCATGACTGGGCTTAGAGTCTCATATTTACTACTTTGACTCAGCATTTAATTTTTATCACGTTGGATCTTGCATTCGTAATTTTATTGTGCTAATAAAATGTAGAGGTTTGTTTCTATTTTATTGCATTAGTATTTTAATTTTAAAGAAGAATACGACCTTCAGAAGACCAGTTTTATAAGCATCTGATAAAACAAGCAACTCTAATAAAGCCATTTCCAGATGTGACCTTTAGATTCAGTTTTGTCTTTCCTTGAACTGAATAGCAAATGAAAAATATACATTGACTGGAAAACATGGTTGAGCTCAAAGCAAATCTTCCATTTTCAATGTCACACTAGCACCATGAAGAGGTGATGCACTGTTGATGAACAAATGTCCTTGGGAACACATGTGAAAGCCCACTGAGATGACTCTGGAGCATGCTTTTTCTGTTTCAGTTTCTGCAACTCTGACCATAATGGCTGGAGAGAAGCAATAGTTCCGTTGTAAAGCACATGCTTTGCACTGGAAGGACTCAGGATCTCTCGGGAAGTTGGAAGAGTCCTGCTTGAAACTTTGGGGAATCCTGCCAGTTATTGTAGATTACTCTGGGCAATCTATTGGCTGACTTTCTATGTTCTCATAGAAAGATTTTTTTAAAAAAATTGAAATCGCCACTACCTTGGCTGCCAAAATTTGGGTTCTTGCAATGTTAATGACTTGACAAAAGTTCAGTTGTCCTGAATTAGACATTGGAGTTCACTGCTCCTCTTCTGGGACCCTCATTCATCACAACACATAGTGATGATCGCCACCCTGCTTCATTAGCTACTTACAGCACGACTAGAATGACAAGACAGCCCCAATTTTACCCCCTGTCCCCATGATGTCTCTCACCTCTGAGCCATGATTAAGCAGCCTGATCTGGCTTTTTTCTGTAGTGCAAAACATCAGCCAGTCACAAAGCACAGGAAAGAGCAAAGAGAAAGGGGACATGGCATTGTTCTATCACTATAGGATTGTTAGTTTGAAATGGCTCCAGAACTGTTATGCTCAAAATGGTTGCTATGGAGTATTTTTACAGAACAAGAGAGCATCATATCACCACAGTGGCCAATCAGATGTTTCTGAAAAAACTAGGATCAAGATTTAAACGTAACACCTTTCTCCTGTTATTGCTCCCCAGCAAGGGGTATATTGCTTGAAAATTATTGCTTTCCTTTAACCATTAGGATTAATTATAACTGTTCATTAGCTTTTGGACTATAATGCAGTGTTATTAAATCATGCTGGTCAAAGAATACAATGTGCCAATTTACTTGTTCCAAAAAGGGGAATTAAGTTACAGAATAGATATTTGTACATTTAGGGATGGATCTCTCTCTCTCTTTAGAGTTGTATTTTGTCAATTTTGGCCTGTTTTTGCATTAACCTAAATTATTATATAAGAGTGCACTAAATTTATATGCAAATATGTATTCAGTTTTATCTTTTTTTTTAAATGCCTCTAAATATGCATTTCTAAACATATTTTGCCCTAAACTACATGTTTTATGTCCATATTGCCATTCTTTTTAGTGGATAAAGTATTGCAGAATGGGGGGAAATGAGAAACCCTATCTGCATATCACTTTGAGGTATACAAATCAGGTTAACTCCTACAGAAATTCACAAATAATGAATTCTTCTAACATTATCTGAAATATTTAGAAATAGTACAGATTTTAAAGACTTTAAATTTCTTTAAAGCAGTCTTCCTGAATTTGATGTCCACCAAATGTGCTGGAGAATAATTTCTGTCATACACAAATCTGGAAGGTACTAAATAAAAAAACTTGGTTTGAAGCAGGAGTGGAAACTGATCTTGTAAGTGCTGCTGAAATAAAACACCAAATATCCTTTGCCATCAGCCACATTAGCTGGAGCTACTAGGTATTGTAGTTCAGCAACAGCTAGACAGCCACACAGGTTGCCCGCCCTGGTTTAGAGTAAGTATTTCTCTGGAAAAAGAGATAATATTAAAAGTGCATGTAGAAAATATCGTTCTCCTACCTGAGAAGGACACTTTGGATCAGGTATTTCTGTGAACTGATAAGGCTTCTTCTGACCAACTGGGGTCAACTAAAATTAAAAATAGAAGGAAAACAGTAAGTGAGGTTTGCTCAGTTGATCAGTCCTCCACTTGTTCCTTTGCAGGACTGACTTGCAAACCCTATGATGAGGGTAATACCCTAGTTTCTGAGTGTAGATGATACAAGCAAAAGGTGTTTCTTATCTAAAGCACATGACTAAAATGATCCTAACATGAATGAATGAGTTGTTGATGTAGAAAACTAGTTTTTCACTGTGAAAGCAAGCTACTCTTCATAGAATTTCATCCACCATTTATATAACCTGATGATACTGAGATGAAGGAACGTTACAAGTATCCTTCCCTGAAATCCCAGACTCCACCAGTAGTGTTGAGAATACCATGTTCATTTGTTTAAATTGGTTTATATGAAGCCTTTCTGCTTCTATTATTAATCTGACTTTAGTAAGAAATACAGAATGGACTAAACTGAGGAAAGTTAATGCCATTGCTTTATGGCAGTAAAGGAATGCCTCTTCTCCTGTCCCTTCCCACAATTCCATTCCTGGTATGTGCGTAAGGGAGATGGAAAAAAGGTGCTTTTCCCCACTTCGCAAGGTAAAGGTAAGGATAAGAGCCTCACACCAGTCTAAATGCTGGTGTCAAAATCATAGACTGTGCCTCAAACAAAAAGGTTGTCATATTGTTTACATTTCACTCTTTGTACCTCGAGGGGTGCCAATAGGTTTCCCTCTTCCCCAACATTTTGGGATCCATCCAAAGAAATTAAAGTTACTAGGCTATGAGGCATAAATAGTTTTCAGGGACTTATCTGTGTTTTAAGGAGCAGACTGAAAAAGAAAGTCGAAGTTGCTTGAAGTATACCATTGAGGTTCATTGCATAAAGAAACAGAGCCGAAACTAAGACCTAATGGTCAAATGAAAATTTTGTAAAATTGATACCAATGAATGTAAGGCATGTAGAAAGCATTAGATCTGTGGGAAGTAGTGTCAGATGGTGGCTATAACTCCTATAGATAAGTCTCAGATATTTAAATAATTAAGGAAGCAGGCATTCAATCTCAGCAGAAAACATATATTTCTTTTAAAATAAAAGCATGCACCAGTTTTCATCCTGGTTCCTAGAGGAATATTTTCTTTTGGGGCCCTGTAAATCTTTTCTATCTACCCTACCCTCCAGCCTGAAAATAGTGCTATATATTAGTAATGCTGTCTAGGACAGGATCCATACTAGGGACCTATAACATTCTCTAGCATCACCCAACCATTACTGAGGTGATATAAAATCTGTCCTTGATAACTGCTATTTCAGTACAACAATGGTTGGTGATTAGCAGGCATTCTGTTAGGAGACATGTTTATGGTGTGAAGAAAATCTGAGCTGATTAAGGCACATCCAATAGTAACCCAGTTAGGTTCAGAAAGCACCTCTAAACTGAAGGATATATAAAGTCCTTAAACCCACAGAAGAGATGTCAGCAAAGCACTTCCATGTCAGCCAACAGGAGCTCAAACGATAGTGCTATTTGCATAGACAAACACATTTTACTCTTGTTGTAAGCAGGACAGTAATGTTTATCTCCTCAAAGGATTACTTCATCACTGCACTTTTTCTCTGATGAAGCTAGGAAAAAGTGCAGCTAGTGGGAACATGGGCTGTCCCAGAATTTCTAATCTCTTGACATCAAACTAGAGTGATGGCTCTTGACTGAGAATTGTCCAGAATCAGCTACATTGGATTATCTCAAATACTTTCATGTTTATGCTTCATTCCAGCAGAATTATAGACCTACATCAAAGAATTTGTTTTGTACATGAATATTCAAGGATTGAAATCTTGGTGAATTCATGAACATTAGTGTCATTATGATTAAGATCAATGAGAGATAGAAATCTTAAACTGTTTTACCCAATTACCCCTTTTCCCAGTCTTAAACAATGTCATTACCTCCACAAAAAAACCAAACTCTGCTGTTTTACAAAGCATCTTAGTATAAATTGCTCCATTACCCCCAGGACATGCCCAAATTACCCTTTTGGAGTTAGTATCTCCAGTTTAAGAACCACTGATATAGACAGATATAAAATAACTTTTCTTTTTCTAATTTTTTTTCCTCTTGTATGTGCTACATTCATAGAACAAGACATTTGTCCCTGGGAGCCAGGTGGTGTAAAAATGTAATAAATAAGTAAATGAAATTTGTAAGTAACTAAGGAAAAACAAACCCTCCACAAGGGATGTCTTGTGGAGCGTTTTCCCTGGAGCAATCAAGCCACCTCATCAGAGATGCTGACCAGATAAGGTCACCTTCCTTATGTTTTTTTAAATTCTGACAGTATCAGACATTCTACCATCTTGTACAGATGACAACCTTGTAAACTACACAAAAGAAAAAACCTCTGATCATTTCCTCTGGAAGTAAGAGAACCTGGATAGTGAAGCATGGCAGTTCTTGGGCCATGTTAAAGTAGTGTTCTCCCTCTTATTTCAACATTGTCCAAGTACAGCCTCAAGGTCTGTAAGCTGTGTCTCATTTATAACAAGTTGTGGGCAATGTCTTCATCTGGCAACAGCCTCCCTTGTTTTCTTACTGCTTCCCCTGACTTTTCTCCTACCATGATAATTCTGTTAAGAAAGGACAGATGGGCTGATCAGTAGTATTGGAAGCCATTAAGGCAGAAACATCCAGAGAGAGGCTCATATGGAATCTTCAAAGAATTATGAAAAGGAGAATGAGAAATGGCTTAAAAGGGAGATATGGGCAAGAGACGGAAAATTGGCACTTGGGAAATGTGAGATAAAGCTTTTCCTTTAAAATAGAGGAAAAGGTAGATCACAAATGTTTTAATTGGGTTAAAAAAAAGGAGAAGGAGATTCAACAATCTGTTCTTCAGCTCAAGTAACATGTATGTCAGATTTTAAATTAGAATTAGAATTCAAGGGTAGTGAATGCTCTTCTTTTCTTACAAAAAGCAAATCAAATTAATAATAATCTAGGATGCAACCTTTTGTTCCCTTATCAAGGCATCTGACTTGCAATAAATGGAGGGCTGAGACAAGAACTTTGACATCATTATGTGTGTTTATGGATAAAAGAGAGATAGATCAAGATAACTCAGTGCAGCTCTTGTCATCCAAGACTGCAACCTTGATTCAAGGATTTAACTTTTGTCCTACCATATCAGATAAATGGGGTCATTAAAGTGAAGGACTTCCACATTCAAAAGAAAGTTAGAGCTCATCTTTTAACAGCAAAAGCCACTAATATCTGTTTTATGAGGCTGTTGAGTTGAAATTCAATGCATCAAAAAGAAACGTGGCTGAAGAAGTTATATCCAATAAGGTATAGTAGTCCAAACAACAGATTTGGCTTAGGGACCCCTGAATACAAATTCTTGGTTAGTCATGATGATCTGTCTCTGATTAGTCACTATCTCAAAGCCTCGTCATGAAGAAAGGGCCATATCAATTCTTATTTCAGTTCTCTCCTTAGAATGAAGAAACACTGTGAGGTCTTCCATGTATTTTCATGCCTCTTACCATATTGTTCCAGAGTTCTACTCCTACTTCAGCAGCATTTTTTTCCCCTGTGATTTTAAACAGTGTCTCCTTTGCTGAATAATCATTATCATGTTTAACCTGCAAAAGAATTAAGAATGGAGTACTGAATGATAGTTTTGCATCCATGGGCAAAAGCAACATTAACAACAGGCAACCCAAGTACTTTATACCTTATTTGCAATAGATGGGAGGAGTAGATTCCAACATTATTTTCCCATGACTAAAATTTGATTCTGTTTTGTTTATTCTCTTTTCTTATCACATAGCATTTAAAAAAATATATGCACATAAAAAAACCCCCACAAAAATGTGCATCTCATATATACTACATAAATTAGTCTTACATGTGTCGTGCATTATACAATTAAATTATTAACATTTAAATCATTTTCCTTAACAAAAGAAAAATGGGAAATTAACTATATTAAATCTAAACTTATAAACAATCCTCCAAACAGGGCTATCAGCAGTAAAATGCTTATTCGTCTAGAAAAGAGAAGCTTTTTCAGTCCCTCATATGGAGAATGGGTGTCCTTCTAGCCTTTTAGTATCCTTTTGTTTTGCAATCATAAAAGGTTACAATATCCATTTCTGTTGTGCTCCCAGCAAAGCTTTGACAACTTGGCACCGAGGAGTTCATGGTCTTCTTTCCAACTCTTCCTGCAAGTGACTGCCACAGCTCCTACAGCTAATGCCCTGTATATAGTCCTCTAAGTGCAAAGGTCTGTGAACTCAGTTCCTGGTAGAGGGTTTGAACCCTTTAGAATAACATCTGGCTACTCATGTCTGACAAATCCCAAAATGCCTCCTGATGGTCAGTCTACCTTTCCAACCCTTTTATAAGTCATCTGACTTAGAACAAGAATGGGTGTTTATAAATATAGTAGAGTTTGTCCTGCAGAGGCCCAGGACCATGGTGACTTTAAGAGGTACCAGTATATACAGCCGCTTTGGTTTCTAGAAAAGGGAGGCTTAGCAGGGGCCCTCTCCTTACTACTCCTTCCTTGTGCTCTGCCCACCACCTGCTGGCACTGCCATTCCTTTATGCCTGCTCCACACACCTGGCTGAGCCAACAGCTGTGTAGGCTCCTGAACAGTCAGACTGCACAAGGCCAGGCCGGCAGCAGAAAGGAGTCAGGCAGGGCACTGAGCGTAAGGATGGCAGCTGCTGCAGAGACAGAGAACAGGGAAAGGACACCCTCTCCTTCTGCACCCCATTTGCTGCCCGCTGTGCCCAGAGGGAAAGAGGGAGGCAGGAGGGTGTGGGCATTAGCTGAGCACATGAACAGGCATGTAGATAGAGGTAACTCAGTTGATGTTGTACACCTGGATTTTCAAAAAGTCCACCACTGGACATTCTTGATTAAATGTAGAAACACTGGGTCCAGAGGAAAAGCCTGCTCAGGGATAGGCAATTGGCTAAAGGACAAGAAACAGAGTAGGAGTAACTGGAGACCTAGGTATTATTTCAAGAAACAGGAAGATTCACAACATGATGAAATATCTGTGGTTCTGTTTTCTTTGCGTAGCTGAAACACAGACAATTCCTAAAGCCATTTTGTAGAAGCAGAGAGTGCAGAAAGCAAGGATAACTGCAATTCAGAAATAACAGCAGCTTCTCTTTACATAGGGAAGTATATGTCTCTCTGAAGAAGAATGTGATTTTTTTTACCATTGTTATGGTAATACATACCATAATATCTGTTATGATCAGCATGCTTTTTTTAGATACATATTTAATTTTTAATTCAGGTTCTATGGGTACTCCATGCCAAAAATCTTGTTTTAAGATCTCATTTTCCAGGACTCCCTTTGCAATGTTAGTCCAGGGTTGTGCATTAGTGGTGGCACCAAGTCTGTATTGCTTCGGGTCCTCAGTTCCTTAAATCAGTGTTTCTCAACCTCTTCAACCTTTAAAAAGCCCCTGCCCTAAAAACACACCCTAACAGCGGAGGGTGGTGGGTTTTGGAGGTTAGACCCTCACATATTT